CTATCCAAGCTCCACCCACAAATATGTTATTCTGCAGCAACTGTTGCAAGGTTGATCAAGGTTTACAGCAAAAAAATCCTATACAATTTTCTACAACTAGGGGCGTAAAGACACACTCAGCCCACAATTTGATTCGATTCTCAACACAAGACTCATGGTTCAATATTATCACAATATTATGAACACACAGTTACTGCAAAAACATGCTTTTTAATACCTTTTTAAGACCTCAACAAAGAAAATATTATTTCCACAGCAAAATAATGCACACTAATGTTTTCTTCACTCAAACAGTTGAAAATCAAAAATGTATTTACATTTTGAAATTGTATATTCCTGAATTTTTCAGTGTATTTGACTTCTGCTGTTCTCTACCCCTTCATTAGTGGTCAGTTTTAAACCACAAACAGGGTTGTTGTTTAATATACACAATGACCATTTTCAGTCCACACTTTAGGCATCATCTTAGAATGTAATACCGCTAAAAGTAAAATGATGATATTTTCAGACATTTTCTGACAGAACTTTTTTCAAATGTATTCTAAGACTTCATAAAACTTTTTAAGGATCTGCAGGATCCCTCGAACCAAATTCAGCTTACTGAAGAACATGCTGGTTGGGTTGTTCCGTGCTGGTTGTTTGCAAAATTTGGTGCTCAAACAATGCAACTGCACTGGAAGTAATTACTAACCGAATGGCTTTTCTCAATGACGCAGTGTTACATTTTTGTATTGCAATATCTTGATGTCACCATGTATTGTTACACAGCCACAATGCCCCTAGCCACAATGTTAAAACAAGCTCAATTCCACAACCAAAGTAAAGTACTTATGATGTATCCTTTCATCCAGATACAAAATAAATACCATTCCAAATGAACAAGTCTAAATGTATGATTTTACGATTTTAGCTTGGCTACAATGTTTCACTCAGTTTGTCAATGTAAGATTTTTTTTGTGGGACAACTTGAGTTCAAAGGATATGCTGACTTTATTGTGTTATTCTGACTCACCTCCACCTTTAAAGATGTAGCTGCGTCGGCCCTTGAGCCAGGTCATGTGCTCAAAGCCCAGAAGTGTGGTGTCCACTCGCAAACACGAGCCACTCTTCCACACACGGTACACGTCACTCGGACACACTTTAGATACCAGAGGCACTGGAAGAGAGGAAACGAGGGAGGGAGAGAAAACAAGAAAGCAAGAAAGCAAGCAACAAAGAGTGAGCTATTCTCAAGGGGTAGCGTCTGTGGAGCTGTCCACTCCTGTGGTGCTGAAATAGTTAACATGAAGGCCCAGAGCCACACAGAAACAGTGATGGAGGAACAGCGTATGTGTAATTTGTTTCTTCTATAGTGATCAGTGCTGTGTAGTGTCATGTATAGTGCTTACCCCAACTTGTAAACTCCCACTTCATCTCCACGTAGAAATCCCGCGCCTGAAATACACAAGACTTTCACTAGTACGCTTTTTTATGATTTACAGTTGCAATGCAAAGTTTAATCACTCCCTTCCACATGACCACTGAGTGCCCTGTGGCAGAGAATTCATACCGCCCTTACCTGTCTCAGTTTGCTAAGAAGCTCCGGAATCCCTGCAAGTCTCTCAGTAGCTCTTTTATAGTCTCTGTACTGGAGGACCAGCTGCACCAGCTCAGGATCTCCTGTGCTGACCGCTTCCTGTAAAACTAAACACAGCGACTTAAACCAACCTCAAGCCTTCGAGGCTACACCACCCGTCCAAACAGGACGCTTTAAAGATCCTAGCCTAAGTACAGCGCAGGGGTTCCCTCACCTGTCCAGCCCTGGGCATTGCTGTGTGTGGGGTCCGCGTTGTGTCTCAGCAGCACCCGCGCAGACTCAAGATGACCAAGGCAGACGGCCAGCTCCAGCGGCGTGCGCCCACGCGGGTCCATGTGCTCCACATCCTGCTGCAGGGAAAGCAAAGATTCACACATACAAGCTAGAGGTGGGCGAAATGGAAAAAATATAACATCGCAATACATCAAGAAGTTTTCAGAACACATCATAATAATTACTTTTTCAGACATCTGATCAGTTGGAACTGAGAAAAAAGAACCAGTAGTGTTACATTAAAAAAATACTATTAGAAACTGTGAATATAATGATCTTTATGCAATATCTGTCACACTGTGCACTGAATCCAGTTGAACGGGACTAATTTTGCTCGCTTTAAAATGAAACGTAGTTGGACACTGTTCTACAAGTACTGACGAAATCCACTATACGTACAGGAAAGTATATTGCACTGCATTGTGACATGAATTATCACGATATCTACATACATACTGTCATATTGCCCAGCCCTGATATATACGTTCACTGAACTCAGCAGCAAGACAGGCCGAACAGTCCCTACTGACACCAACTTACACACAGCAGCTGTCAGTCACTGCATTCACTCACCTGCTTTTTCTTCAGCTCTCTGTCGAGCTCCAGGTACTGATTGTTCCAGACCAGATAGTGCAAAGGAAACGCCTCTTGAGCCATTTTTCCTTTCGAGTCAAAATTTCACGGTTTCGGTTTCGCCTGTTTGCCTCTGCAGCTAGCCGGTAAATCGATGTGCTGCATGAAGGGCTGCTGGTCACCTTTACAGACAAACACCCCTCCAGTCGTTATGAAGCGTTTATGTACCGAAAGCGGGATCAAACACCAAAAGCCCCATAATCAGTACCATTCACAGCAGTCCAAAACAGCCTCCTCACCGTCATCCCTTCACGAAACGGGTTGTAAATACTCTGCTTTAGCCTAAATTCTTGCTATTTAACCGCGACAACTCGTTAGTCAGCTAACCTAGCAAGTTAAGATAGTTTCCCCTTAAGGTTAAAACAACCCTGTCAACAAGCCGAGCGAGCTAACGCTACTTCGGTTTAAATATCGCTTCACAACCAGAGCACTGGTAGCTGACCGTTAGCTAGCTAGCAAGCTGAGGGATTATTTTCTCGAAATGTTACACTTCGCCCATCTTAGTGACCAAAACTGAGTGGCTAACGTGTCAAGTCGTCCAACAAAGTTAAAATAAACAGACTGTCTGGCGAGAATCGTTTATTCTGCCACAAAACCATGTTTCGGTTTGCGAGCTAGCCACGGGTTTTCGGCAGCTAGCTAGCCAACGGCTACCCATCGCTAATAGCTACGGCGGTGCCGACACATACGAACACCTCACGACGAAATTTACAGTCTTTAGTGTAAAGCGAGCCCCAAAAAGAGATTCCCCGTCACTTATGTAATGGTGGCGTGGGCAAAAAAACAGATATAACCCAGCCAAACAGCGAGCAGCGGCCTATTTTCCCCTCCGCATCCAGGTCAGCAGAGCCGCCGCTGCTGCTGCTGTTCCCTCCTCAGCGCTTCAGTGCGGATCCTGATGCACAGACGGGCTGCAGGAGCGGGAACAGGTTCACAGCATCATGGCGAAACGTCGCTCTAGGTAGAAAAAATGAAGCCTAACAGCCCTGGCTTGCACATCCACTCCGTGATTAAACTATTTTATTTATTTATTTATCTGTGTGCGCGTCCCTTTCCCATCAGTACGAGCCCAGACCAGTTTGTGTGCGAGCAACATAAGGGGCACGTCCCATTATTCATTACAGTACTACAGAGAAATACAGTGAGGGGAAACAAGTATTCAGAGTTTGTATCTGATATATTGCAGTGCATGTATTCACTTCATATTTACACAGAGAGTGTCTTTTGGCTTTGTACTTATAAATATAAAAAGTATACGATCATATGCATGAATAAGAATATGTTTTAAAAAACTAAATATGTTCTAGATATTAATGCTGCAAAATAATAATACAAAATAAACATCGTGCAAACTGCCATGGCAAAAAACCTTGAACAGCCCCGACTGTACAATTGGTTAAATAGTATCCTAGTGGAAAAGCAACAGAGCAACTTTAAAAATACTACTACTAATCATAATAATATTTTTTTATCATCATTATTATTATCATCATCTTGCACCACGCTGCACTTGGATGACCTGAACGCAGGGAATGCACCAGAGTCATCTCTATTGATACATCCCACACTAAACTCCTCTGTTTTAGGCCTACTTTTCTGCTAATGGTGCTGAAGCATTTCATTCATTGAACAAAACAGGAATGCTGTAATGTATCAGGAGACATTGGGGCAAATTTCATCATATCGGCCAACAAACTACATGATAAGATGGATGTTTCAACAAGACAACAACCCCAAACATACAGTCAAAATGACTCAAGACTGAGTCCTAAAAAAGAAAGTAAAGGTGCATGGAGGATTTGGAAATTGAAGACTGTCAAGAGGAATGAGCCAAATTTAACTACAGAGCTTCAGAAACTGCAAAAAAACCATAGACATCTCAGAGCTGTAACTGATAACAGCTTTGCAACTAAGTACTAATGTTGTTAATCTGTCTTATATTTTTCCTCCCATCAGTTTTGCCTTTTATAAACCTTGTTTACACTAAATAATGCATTAGTTTTGTTCATATTTATAAGTACAAAGTCAAAAAACAGGAAGCGTATTAAATAACAAAAACATCTGAATGTGTTTCCTCTCACTGTAAAGGCTCTACTCTTCATATGCATATGCATATGACAGCACATACCAAAAACTATTATCAAGAGCCACTCCAATAGATTTAACTGCTTTAACTGAAATCTTTAGAAAAAGAAAAAAAAAAAAAAATTACAAATACAATTAAATAATCTAGAACATACATTATCATTTCTTTCTTTATTTTTTTTTGAAAAACAAAAACAAAGTGAAAAAAAAACAAAGCTTTTCAAAAAATAATTACACTGCTACAGATTTTCTTTCTGGCATACTACAAGAGAGGAATACTTTTACATAAGGTTGTGTATATATATATATAAATTTATATATATATCTAAACTCTTTTCAGAGGAATTGGGAACAGAAAGGTATTCCTCTTGAAAAATAAAGTCAGAGGTAAAGACAGGAGTGCAACACCCTTACGCTGCTAAGAGGGAAAAGACAAGTTAGAATGTCAAAAAAAAAGAAAGGGATGGATTCAGGAGAGGCATGCAAACAACGGGCCTGCCCTGGAATAGAAAAGAGTCTGTTGGGGAATAGCACCTGTTTAAACTCCTACTGGAAGAGCGTACGGCATTACAGGCCTGAGAATCGACATGATTGCCAATTGCAGTATTTGTGTATACACAGAACAAAGGGAAATAGTTAATTACAAATAAGAGGTACCCATCGCCAAGTCGTGTTTTTCCATAAGCTCCGCTCTGGATGCTTTAAGCTCCTCACTCTTAACATTCTATACATAAAACTAAATTTTCTGTTAAACAGAGCAACCTCGCTGAACTGCCCGCACATACACACTAACAGACACACACTGCTTTTGTCATTCTCTCACACACACACACACACACACACACACACACACACACACACACACACACACACATTTCTTACTAACATCCACATACAAACATACTCTGGCACCATTCAGCCCAACAGTCTTTCTCTCTGAGAGAAGGCCGGGCTCTATGATATCCTCTGGATGAGCTTGTCGTCTGATAGGCAGTAGAGAGCATTGACAGACAGTTCCGAGATGAAATTCTCACAGGCCTGCCGGGAGACTCCTTTACAGCCGCGCAGGTCCAGCACCGAGAGACAAGACAAACGCTGCAGGTACGGTAGACAGTGATCCGTCAGACGACTGCAGCCTGAAAGACAGAGAGAGCGAGATTGTTTTCAAGACACCCGACATGCTCCATCGAGTATGGGATGAATTTGACTATGGCGTTGATGTCTGTACAGCTGGACGAGGTTCATATTGAGCGCTTTTAAAATTACACAAACTTTATGCTCAACTAAACCATATACAATTTACTGCATTGTTCTGTAATGATTTACAAAGGAAATAAATCATTTTGAAATCAGATGAATCTTTTTAAATCACCCTGTATATTTAATGTTAAATATGAGGAAAATTGGCACACAATTCTTTCTCACTCTGTGATGCAGCATAATGAATGGTGAATCACCAAACAGTTATTTCACACAGTAGTGATTTCAGTATTTGAACAGCGGTACAACAAACGAGTGAACAGAGTTCTTTTACAAACTGCAAGAGAATTAAGTGTGAGTATTTAAAATGTGCATTATCGTTGTGCTAACTGCAGTCTAACCAATGTCAGTTCATTTAGACAGTAAATGTTTAAAATCAATTAATTAAAATAATCAAGTTTAATTGAAGAATCATGCCTAGGTGGTAATTTTGTGTATGACAAAGACTTATCCTTTGTGCATGTGTCTACAAGTGTGCACACATGCGTTTACACCTGCTGGGTTGTGTGAATGTGTAAGTGTGTATGTTCCCTCTATAAATTCTGGTGCTGTAGAGTGCGAGCTTGTGTTTTCACATACCTGCTAAGTTTAGATGTGTGAGTGTGTTGCGTGTGGAGGAGCCCACAGCAGTGAGGAGGTTGAGAGCGTTGTCAGTCAGGGGGCAGTGTGAGAGCTCTAGCCTCGTCAGCTGGGGCATGTGTCTAATGATCAGCCTGAGAGTGGCCTCCGTCACATCCAAACCACACAGCCTCAAACACTGCATGTTCCGCAGCTGGGATCGGTTATTACTGCCTGTATAAAAAAAATTTACGCACAATGTGAAAAAGACAGAAACTCACATATACAGTTCTAAGACCACATAAAACTGTTTAAAAGCTTTTTATGGGGGCAGTAACTTGTAAAACACTACATAACAAATGAAATACTAACAAACATGAGTATAATTGAAGATACCATTTTCTAAATGTCAAAAAAAGTTTGTCACAAGTAAGTTGTGAACTGATTAGAAGAGCATAAATGTTTCTTCTTCTCAGTGCAGCTCAGGCATTGCAAGGATTTGTTTAATATTATTACTGGTATACATGATTTAATTTGATGAAGTGTTAATTTGACGAACCTGGTATTAAATAGCAACGAGGGTCGGAAAAGGGCTGCAAACACAATGACAGACTTAAAATCAAAATGTATTGAAGTAATGTTTATTGGCATTTATTCTAATGTTGGTGTTAATAAATAAATGGAAATAAATGTTTACTGACCACATAAAAAGCTTTTTGCACAGTGCAGATCTTGTATTATATCCTCATGTCTAAAATCTTATGATCCTGGATCCTCTGCATTTATGAGTTTTGAGGTTTATGTCCTGCAACCTCTCTTTTTCTTGGAGACAAAACAAAGTGCACTTCTGGCAGACATTGTGTACCTGGTGGGCTGAGGAGCTCTCGGATCTGTGCATCTTTGACACCGTCCGCCCAGCGCAGGTCTAACGAGCGCAGCAATGGACAGCTGGGAGAGCTCAGAGCAGAGATTGACACCCAACTACATCCTGACAATACCAGATCTTTTAACCCTGAAATTTAAAGGGAGTGAAATACAGAATACCACAAAATAAACACCATCAAAACAACATAAGAGTGAGTATGCATCCCAGTGTATATGTACCTGGTAATCGGTTAACAAGCCAAGTGAGCTGTTTCTTGGATATGTTGGCCCACGAAAGGTCCAGTGTGACCGGCTGACGTTTGATGATGCCAGAGAGGGCCTGTGGACTGATGGACTGGCAGCGGCTTAAACTGATTCGCGTCCACAACCGCTTATCACACCCCCTATTGCAACAAGGAAGTACAATAAGGACACACAAACACCACCTGCAGTTAAATTCAAACTTAGTGTGTGCAAGATAAGATATCTGCGTTGGGGAGTACAAGGACAGGGGTTCATGGGAAGTTCACCAGACAGAATACAGATACTTTACAAAAGCCTATTCATAGTCCCTAAAATGCACCTGTTTCCTTGGATGATGTACTGAGCATGTATTTTATTATGGTATAATTACAGGATTATTGTGAACTGTTGATGACTTATTTATTGTCTTACATTTAATGAGTAAATAAGGGAAATAATAATAATAATAATAATAATAATAATAATAATGATAATAATAATAATAAATATTGTTTAATCAAACATTTAATCAATTATTTCTTTACACACTAACTATAATGGTAAGACAACACTTTTCAAAATTTACCAAGATTCTGCTCTTGGTACTGACTCTCTGGCAATCCCTTTGGGTAAGCACAATAATCTGAAGCTCTTAATAAAGAATTAAATATATTCAATTGTCTTGGATCTTAATGCATCATATATTTGTGAATAAAACTACCATTCTGACCATTTTTTGTTATTCAAATATCCAAACTTTTAAACAAACAGTATTCAGATGTTACAAAAAGCAAGCACTTCATTTTGTTATTTTGTCACCTGAAATGCAATATTAGCTACTTGTGTCCAGACACTTTGTTACATTCTCATTAAAAAAAAATACAAGATATTAGAGGATTTATTCCAGACTACACATGCTTTATTTGGAAACCTAATTAAGTAAATGAATCCTTTGATAACTTTGAATATCTGTGTAATCAAACAACAACAGTCATCTGTAATTCATATACTCACCATTTGTACCAGTTCTTGCAGACGGCCATACAGACACACAGCTCGGTTCGCGTCAGATAGCGGAAGACAGACACCCACACTAGCCTTTCCCAGCCGGGCTCACTCGCTCCGTTCTGCTCAGGCGACCTGCGGGACATTGGGCTGGACAAGGAAGACGAAGCAGGGGGCTTCGCTCTGTCCACTCGAGACTTTTTACCATTTTGGTGGGACTCCCCGGAGTTGCATCTAAGGTTCCGGCCCATGTGAGTGTGTTTGGAGGTGCTTCTGGTCAGCGTGGAGGTTTGGAGATGCGTTCTGTCTGTGTGTGACCTGACCGCTTGTGTGCGAGAGCACTCTGTGTGAAGGTGGCCTTTATCAGAGCGCCGGACCCCGTTTCGGAGAGGGGGGCGGAGCAGGGACTTGCCATAAAGGTCTCTAGGGCTTTGTGGGAGGCTTCTGGGGGAGACATTGGCCTCCAGCTTGGGAACGATGGTGCTGGGATCACGCCTACCCTTGGATGGTCGCAAGGTCACTGTCACGCATGACCTCTGACCTCTCGCATCATCACCAAGCACCACTGAAGAGTCTGACTGCGTGTGCTCTGCAGCTTCGTCCCTCTCCCTTTTTCGTTCTCCGTTCTGTGGTCCATCTCCATTTTCCTCTTCGTTCGCCCGTGCCCCGTGTCTCTGTGGCCGGTTCTCTTTGCCCCCCCACCCGTTCTCTCTCCTCTCTTCCTTCTCTTGCCCTTCCTCCTCATTGCTGTCCGCTTCACCTTCCTCTCCCTCAGTCCGTCCTCTCAGGGTGCCGCCTCTTCCTCCGCCTCTGAGCCGCACCCCTCTCCCCCGGCAGGCTGGCAGCCCTCTCCCGCGGGACGTGGCCCTGTTTAGCGCTGCCCGGATCAGCCCGGCTCTCTCCAAACTCCGCTGCCGCAGGAGCTTTGGAGAAAGAGAAACAGGCGAACGTGGCTGAGAGAAAGAAAGACAGAAAAAAGGGAAGGACGGCAAGACGCAAAAACAAAGACGAAACAAAACAAGGAAAAAAAAAAGCAAAAGCAACATGGAGTGGGTCAGGGCAATGAATGTGTAATCACAGCAGCTGATGTAGGGAGATGCTGGCATGTTCGCACACAGTGACATGAGGACAAAACAGGGATACAAGTCTTACCGACTGGAGGATTTTGTTCCGTTCTAGTTTTATCTACAGCAGAAAAGAAAGAACAATGATAGAGATAATACATATTAGGCAAAATGAACTGAATGTTCCACTTTAACCTAAAGCCTATGTCTTCTTTAGCCTAAATGCTTCAACCTAAAGCAACAACTTAACCTAAAGCATTTCTCTTAATGAAGCATGTGTAGCAAACACAGCAAACATCTGCCGCAGATGTAAATACATGTTTAGAAAAGAATAATTCTAAGATAAGACTCTGCTTTTTGATAAGTTTGTCCTGTTTCTATGAATGAAAACTGACTGAAATAATCGCAATATTGAGAAAAGCTATGCCTCCATCACTTTTACAAACTTATATGCATGTGAAAATAGAACTGCAACACTTTTACTTGAGCAGATGATGATAGAAATCATGTCTTTACTAATGAATGAAGCACAGGTGTTGTGGTTGCCTTTACCCTCTTTCTGTGCTGTAGCTCCAGTGCACTGGCTCTCTTGCGGCTCTGTTGGTGCTGCAGTAGGAGTCTCTGTGAGGGTGGGGGTTGGCGTCTGGAGCGGGTCAGAGGCAAGGAAGAGGGTGAGAGTGGCGGCCGACCCTTGCGAAGACCCCAACGCAGCCCCCCCACTCCGATGCCCTCTCTGTACGCTCGCTTGGCTGGAGGGCCTGAGGACGGAGAGCCGGTGGTCACGCTGCTTTCACCTTCTTTTTCAGAACTACTGCTGGAAGACTGAGGTTCAGAAATAACACCACATTTAAATTAAAGGAGAGACAAGTAATTAAAGGAGCAACTGATTGGGCTTTTCGGTTCCACAGTCTATCAGTAACGTTGCCAAAAAAAGACCACAATACAATGTGGCCAGGCAATTTGTTACTTGCTTAGGAATGGCTACTGAATTCCAGGTCTTGAGTGAACTAAAACGGATTCACCTCAAAAGATTTGTTTCCTTTTCAGCTGTAAACAACATGGTACACATACGCCTCTTTTCTACTGCAGGGCCGAATGGTTATGAGCAATAACTGTTCCAACGGCTTTTCCATAAAGACATGATTTAACATCATTAACGCTTAAAATCGCCCTCAGTACGTTTATTTTGGCACGGTTAGCCGACCGTACTCGGGGCCACAGATATTCGGTGGGATGATGTAATGACGTAGCTATTTGCTAACTGGTCCTAGAAAATAAATCAGATACATTCACTCATATTGATGCCAGATAAAAAGACAGCATGGCACAACTTTAAATCCACCACTCGATAAAAGTCAAAGCTTCAATCTTACACCAATTTCTAACTGTTAAAAGGCACTGATTACGAGAAGAGTGTAGCTGGTTAGCATTAGCTTAGCTAGCATGCTGCCGGCTCTGCTCACCACAGAACAGGTTCTATTCTGACTAACAGAAGCTTTACTGACACTAGTTTAGACGATAATCACTAAAATCCGAGTGCCTTGGGATGTAAAGCTGAAATTACACCTGTTCGGTGGTGTTTGAGGCTTTATCATCCCAGCTGTGCTAGTGCTAGCTGGCTCCTCTCTCCTAGCTTAACTAAAGAGATCCAAACACCCCAGTACAGTTTTTATTCGACATAACTGGTGCTCTGCTATCACAAATATAGATGATATAAACTTATTTAATCGAGAGCAAAGTCAACTGGTGTTGGAGTGACAAAAGGCAGAAATCAAATCTGTTCTGTAGTGCAAGTTGTAGACTGCTAGGCTAAGCTAATGCGAGTGTGCTTCCTGTTGCAGTACCGACTTGGTTCCAGGGACCGATGTTTAGAGTATAAAACACTCGTTTAGAGTATAAGACTCAAACGTGAGAGCACAGATTCGAATGACTGACGAAGTTTGAGCTGTACCCCGCTGGGCGACTCTAATGCTAGTGCAGTTAGGCGGCTACAGGTGAAACCAATGCAATACAGGCTCAGTTTCAGAAACTGATGCTCAAATAACGCCCGTTTGGAGGATAAAGAATCTGACAGCACGGCGAGAGACTGGAGTTGGAGTGACATACAGAATCAAATGTATTTTGTGGTGGGTGCTGTATATGTAGCTTATAGCATGTTAGCAGTTAAATCACTCATTTGTATAGTTTCCTGCAGTATTTCTTGGTTCTGCTTTAGTGGCGCAACAGAGAGAAAATAAAACCGCAACCGGTCTCACAAGTCTAGGCCAGTGTGGAATGGCACAGTATGACCCTGAGAACCATTTGGCTCGACAGTGGAAAAGAGGCCATACAATAACGAGTTCCTGTTATAAACCAAAAACTTGGAGAGAGTCTTTGCTGAAACGCTAGGTTAATGTTAGTCAGAGCGAGAGGTTATAGTCTACCTTAAATAAATAAATAAAACATCTAGTACATAAAATGTACTTATGGAATAGTCTACAAGCTACACTGCTCCTCATGCTCTACTCTCTCGACTATAAGTTGTATCGTACATTATAGGGTACATGGGTATGCAGCACTTTAGTGTAAGAGTGCACAGTATACCATACCTCTCGGTTCTTTTCCTGGACACATTTGGGACACTCCCAGCAACTGGGCAGGTCCTTATTGATCACACCCTCCCCTGGCACCTTCATGACACACAGACAAGCAGATCGAAGTCACCTTAAATTACCAGCACATTCAAATCAACTGAATCTTTCTGAATAGAAATGCATTTACTGTGTGTGTACCTTTATGCATTCTGGATGAGTGATCTGAGCACATTCAGAGCATTCCATGAGAGACTGTGTGGCCTCCGAGCCTTCAGCCTCCTGGTTTCCCTCCTTACATATGGCACACACAGCCGACAGAGGCAGTCCCGGCTGAATAAAGTGAGCACAAGACTTAGAGGTGCACGTAATATACACATGATAAAAACGAGTGAATTAGTTTTATCTATAAGTTCTATATTAGCCATTATTGTTTTATATAATTTAAGGTAAAAGTGAGTGATTCCACAGCTCCCTTAGTAACATTAATAGCATAAATAGACTTTACAGAACGTAATAACAAAAAACTTAATGGACACAGCTCTGCCACACCATGTTGTTATTGTTATTGAGTGTTGCACGTCATGTAATGGGCTACAACATTTCAATCCAAAGTAAGATTCATTCAAACCGGCCATTTTAAAACCCACAAATTACATTACAGAGCAAAGAAAACTAATCCAGCTCCAACGCGCTAAAGATACAAGTACAAATGCAAGTACTTACAGCCAGACACTGTCTGAGAATGCAGGTCTTCTTAAGTCTGCCAGGGCCACCAAATTTCCTCATGTCCTTGCAGTAAGTGCAGTCCCCGCACTCGGTGCGCAGGCAGGCCACACAGCGTTTGCACCGCACGCGCCGTCGCCGAAGAGCTGAGATAGAGGAAGGTGGTTTCATGGGCCGTGGCACCGGAGCCAACATGGGGCCTGAGCCTGGAGCCCGCGAGCGATAAAGCAGAGATGGGGGAGGAGCAGGTGGCCTATACCATGAGGGCTGCAATCAGAAAGAAAGAAAGCATATATTTGTGTGTCTACATTTTGGCATGAGTTTTGGTAACATACAACAACTATTCACCATTCATTTTTTGGGTATACTATGCTCACTCAGCTTCATGTCCATCAATGTAATATCACTCTTAATACCAAAGACATTATGTGATATATATATAATATATATAATATATATATATAATATAAAATGTGAAGGTGAGCATGTCCTTCCTTTGAGTCCCAAGCCACTGCATCCTTCAAACCACTGCTAAACCAACATTGCGGGGCATCTCAATGCACTGGGATGGAGAGAGGAACATTCTACCCACCAATTACAGCAGACCAATTATACTCTTTTGGACTCCCAGCCACGGATAGCTGTGGCATAACTTAGTATCAAACTCGCATGAATTCCCTTCCAGTGGTGGTTTAAACAAAGTTTAAGTAGTTATGTGTGCTGGAATCACAACAACCTTGCCACTATTGCCAAGGTAATGTCACAAATTGTACACACGGTAGTGTTTTCCTTAAAAAACGAAGACAAAGAAAACATGCTGCTAGAAGTCCCCAAACTTTTGATGGCGGTGTATGTTTACAGGAGTATGTATAGTACATGAGTGGAGGTGTACGCTAACGTTTGGCCTTACCCTTTTGGGCCATGTGACAATGGGATTTCCAGTGTAAGACAACTTGGGATCATCACTGGCATGCTCCTCTAGCACAGCCTGTGGATGGTGGGAGGAGAGAATGCTTGTTTAACAGTAATCAGAATATACTATGACAGAGCGATTAGTTAATTACACTGTTGCACTGACAACTTCACTAAAATAATTGACATACAGGTGGGTAGTTATTTTGAATAATCAAATGACCCATATGCAAGGATGTTCTACAAGTAATATCCCAAAGTGGTCTATCTATTTTCATTTGTTACACTGAGAATAGTGGGGTGGTGTACCCGGATGTCACTGAGAAGCGCTGGAGCGTTTCTGATGCCTGTGGGGACACACTTCTTGTGAGCTGGCAGCTCCTCCAGTTTGTGCAGTAGCTGCCACAGGCCCTCCAGCTCAAATGGTGTTAGGTGCACTTTCACACCCGGATGGGCCGGAAGGGAGGGGGCTTCTTCTTCGTCATTTTCCTCTTTAATGTCCTTGTTGCTATCGTCCTCCTCTTCCTCCTCCTCCTCCCCTTCCTCCTCCTTCTGTCCGTCTTTTGTATGGTCATCGAGTTTGTTTGGTTTGATGTAATCTTCTTTCTTCAGCCCTTTGTGCCAAAAATAAGCAGGAAATTAATGACATTGGAGGCTGCGCTTCAGACTGTCAGTTGATGCAGAAATATGTCTGTATGTCTCTCACTGTACTCACCTATACCCAGAGAGTGCTTCTGGAACTCTGGCGTTAGATGAGAGGTGTTGGTCAGACAGTAGAGGTAACGCTCCAACACATACCAACACATCTCGTAATAGAACGGGTAACGAAACTTAGATGGGACCTACAAGTGAGGGATAGAGACACAAATGAAATACGAACAAGTCACAATGAAGGAGTGAGGGGGGGAAAAAAAAAAAAAACACACAACACAACATCAAGACAATCAGTTTGCTGGTTGAAATTACTCCTAAGGTATGAGTCCTGTTATAACCGTTATACTGGTACACCACAAATACAAGTGAGTAACAACCTATAAGCAGTGTAAACCATGCTAAAGTTAGTCTGTTTGGCCAAATGGCTGAGTCAGGAACGTTTCAGTCATGTTTTAAATTCAAACGAAAGCACAGCGGACACTCAAACACTGCCTGCAATGAAGTGTGTTGCATCTGCAGCAATCCACTTTATTTTGAAGGCTGCAGACATAAAGGAATAGCCTGCCTTTTGGGATTAGCCTCAGTCTAACATGGACACGAGAGCATTTTTGTTTGCTTCCTTCACCGCCTCAGAAGCTGCCTGACTTTAAATTTCAATTTCAGTTTTCACGTTGCAGCAATTACATCCTGGACAGGCGCCTGTATGTAACTGCTACACCATTTAAGGTGGAAGGGAAAGCTTGAACAAAATGCTGGTGAATGTAAAACTTCAGCCTTGTAGAAATTAAGACACAACATAAGATTTAACACCATCTTTGGTGGGCCTGCGTGGCAATATTGACGTAATTTTATCTACATATTGTTTGGTTTTCTTTTTAATAATTTACATAATAAAAATATTTCAGTTTTATTTTGGTTGTTAAAAATGACTTATTAAAATGTGACAATACACAATAATAAGCCACAGTTAACATACAAAATAGGTTTATTTAAGCATCTTAATATTTTTTTATGTGAAAGTATATACCATGATATACAGCAAAAGGTTTGGAAATTTTTAATTATACAGTGACATACAATTTTAGCCATATCGTCTGCTACTAGTGTGGGCACAGGATCCAGTCACTGAAATAGTAGTGTGTGGCAGAGCTGGCCAGTGCCAGTGGAGCAGTGTCTAGCTCTAATCTTCTAGTGTCTAGTCACAGTAGACTTTAATGACAGAATTTCATGAGCCCTAAAGAAAAGTTTTTTTTTGCTAACTGAAATGTTAGTCTGAGGTGGAAATGAAATAGTGTTGTGGCCCTGGATAGTGGATAATAAAACACCTTCTATTTGTAAGTCTCACAAGCAATGTATGAGACTTGAGAGGTATGAAACTCTGGGAAAGTGAGTGTTCGTTTGTATTTTTAAACCAACCCGTGTGCGGTCCTCAATGTTGTAGATGTTCAGCTGCATTGGAATGTTAAAACTGTGTAGGAAATTCCCACCAAACACCAGAGTATCTTCAGGAGTGTATACTGCATGGATCCAGCCTGCATACAAACACACACACACACACAGAAATAAATAAGGTCACCATGAACCGAATTGCGTTTCACACCAAGTCAATCAGTACAGCTGACCGGTACTTCTCTCACAATTTTAATACCAATACAACACAGTACAGTCTCCAGTATGAAACTAAAAGACCACATTTTATGCTCATGTTACTCTGGTACTAGCAGAAGTTATCACTGATTGTGTGTGCATGCATGTGTACATGTGTTCATGCATGTGTATACACCTGAGGGGATCATGAAGGTGTAGCCCTGCTTTAGCTCAATGCGCTGGCAGGCAGTGGCTTTGTCTCCAAGAAAGATGTCACCCTGTTTCCCTGACAAAACCCAGTTTTCATAGAGCTCCAGGTTCTGCGGCGTGGGCGGAATCAGCCAGAACACCTAGGGTTCATACAAGGGTCAGAGAGCAAAGCAGGGTCAGTAGTATTATTATCAATTGATAACATCAGCACAAAAAACAGCTGAACTTTTTTTCTCCATATACTTTCATAAACAATCATAGATAAACATATTATACGAACATAAGAAGATCTAAGAATGACTCATTTAGGAGGTTTTCAGCAATGATATGATGCACGCAGTAATTATACCATGTTTGGTTCTCACCTTGGCTCCCCTCAGGATATGGTACCAGACTGATGTGCCGCCAAAGTCTATGTGGAAGTCAGTGAAGCAGCCCTTTACACTCATCAGACAATACCTGTAAGGAGGGAAGGCAGAAAAGAAAGAAAGATCAAAGGCAACAAAAAAAAGACTGAGTCAGACATGCTGTCCCCAACACAACCTGATAATCATGCCAGTACTTTGCATCTGATGAAGATTAAGAACGTTCTTATTCATATACAAATACACAGTGGAATGAAGTGATGTTCCTCCAAGGCCATGGGTCAACATACAAAACAGGGCCAGTGTTTACTGGACTACATAGTAAAAGTGACAAAAAACATACATACAGTGCAAGTAAGCAAGACAGTAGAATTCAATAAGCACACGACAATACAACAGCTCAAAGCTCAACCATAAAAACATTAAAATAAATTTGCCAAGTTGGACAGCATGAAAAAAAAAAAAGAAAATATATAAGAATGGGTAGTTTTCTTACATACAGACAGGTAGTGTCCCACCAAAAACGAAAATACGAACCTACTCTTGTACAGGGCTGGGCAATTTGTTGTCTATTCTAGTACACAGTTATAACACTGCATCATACTGCTTTTCATTTAGCAACATACATAAAAGATCCTGAGCACTATGTCCATAACACAATGGTCACAATACAGTGGCGTTCCTGTTGCCAAGCAGTTTGTTTTTAGTTGTCTGGACAAATGCTTCAGACTGTTTTGAAAGAATTCCAAAGCCATAAAAACTAATTAAATAGTACATTTATACACAGTTAAAAAATGGCATTTTTCTGCTAATTTAAGCACACTATTTATATTTCTTTGCTGAGTTTAACATTTAACAAAATATAAAAACGTGCCATACCTTTTGTACAGGCTGCATTTTATGTTTTATTTTTTCCCCCAATGCGTTAAATTCAGCAAAAATAATAATTGCGCATTAAAATAGAAAATCAACAAAACGGGTAACTTGACGAGGGCTGCCCAAACCTTTGCATATGACTATGTCAGGTTTAAAAAAAACTTGTTTTACCGCAGAGTACCTGCACTCAGGCAGCATAGGGTTCATTAATTAATACTACGTCAAATATAATCTGATATCATGATCGTATATTTGGAAAATATCATGACACTGGATTGTATCAATATCACCCAACACTAATATGAACCCTCTGCAACTGTGAACATGGAACAGCAACTCACTTCTGCACTTTGGGGTACTGCATGTCTATGATGGCATTAGTGGAGTCTCTCTGTCTCTCCTTCAGGTGCCGTGGCCACATGTTGTCTACCCAGTCGATCATATCAACCTGAAACGCACAAAGCAAAGTGTTAGGATTTATCACAGAAGGATTCTGGTGCATGTGCTAGAGGGGTGGGGCAGGGCAGCTGTAAACACAGGCATACATACCGAGGCAGGCCTCTTGACGAGATGTTCTAGTTTCGTATGACTAAACTCGAGACTGATGACATTGTACAGCTTTTCCCTTTCTGAAGGTGGAGTTTCATAGTACCGTCTCCACTGACTCATTGACATCTCAATACCCTTTTGAGTGTTTACATCCATCACATCAATCATTCTTCGACTGCCTAATAACATGAACAAAAACAGCACACATTTCAGTTGAAAACCTTGGAGTAAACAGGGAGAAGCCTCACTTGCAATGCACTACTAAATAACAATAATCAAAGAAACAAATAGATAAAATAGAAAAAAGTAATAACATTTAAAAAATAAAACAACAAGAAAACAAGCAACTAACATAGCATTCATTAATGAAGCAGTACCCAAAAAAATGTTTTTTTGTGAATGAAGGAATGGATGCTAATATTATTAAACAATATAAGAATAACAAAACAAAGAGGATATTCTTACCCACAAACAGTTTCACATCGCTCACACTGAAATCCTCATCCGGCATCCTGAAAGAGATAAAACACAGAGAGTCACCTCATGTTACAGCCTATCTGGCTAAGCACAATAAACTAAAGTAACTGTAACTTAAATAATATGTAAGCACTCTATATGAGCAACCAATCATTCTCTTCATACCACTTTGACAAACTACTTATATAAGGTAAATTCCATCAGTAATCAAAGCAGATCAAGAATTTGATGCTAAACAGACATACTGAATGCCAAGACCATCTGTTTTAGTAAAGATGATGGGGTCCCGAAGTCCCTCCCGCTGGATGTACTCGAAAGTGAAGTCTAAAGAAAGCAACACATATACACAGTTAAAATAGACTTGTGTGTAAAATCTCACTGTGATGCTGGTGATTAGTCCATTAAAAGGTTTAAAACTAACCTTTTCCATCCATGATTCTGACCAAGTCTGAATTAAAGAAGTTGCTTTGAAGTTTTTCTTCTAGGTCAAAAGTCCTCTTGCCCTCAATCTCATCATCTGAGATGCCATCGTCCTGGTAACGCCGTCGCGTTCCTGTTCGCTAAAGAGAGAGTGTCCCGAATGAACTGATGTAAGGCACACAAATGAGAGGCACATACAGTGTGTATATAAGACTCAATTAGATATCAGCATCCATACGAAGACATTTTGGGCTGGTTTCCCAGACAAGCATTAAGCCTAGTTCTGGACTAGCATTCTAAATGACGATTTCCCAACGAAAGGAAAGTGTAGGCCAAGAATAGGCTTAATCCCTGTGCAGGAAACCCAGTGCATATCAGGGTGATGAGATTACAGACAGTTCTGATGTATTTTATGCATCTTCACCATTTTGCATGTGTCCCATATCTAGGTGGTTAAAGACCACCCAGGGATGGTCACACAATATCGACACATATTCATAATAAAGCTCTACAGGCCGCATTAGAATTGGTTTTGTAGAAAGGGATTAAGCCTAGTCCTGGACTACACAGCATTCTGAATGGAGGTTCTCCACTGAAATGAAAATGTAGTCCAGGACTAGACTTAACCCATGTCTGGGAATCAGGCTCAGTATTTTCTACATTTTAAAAATACAGTGCTAGAATAAACATGAACTTGAGAAAACCTCATCACTGCAGGTGATTCTACTGTTATGACTATGCATCTGCTCTGATGCAGCACTAATAACAGGCCTAAAATAAGTCTTCCAGAAACCACAATGACACGAACATGATATGCTACAGCCTGAAGAGTTAAAAGGATGCTTACCAGGCGCTTGCTGTAACGGGGTTGGTTCTCCTCCATCGCCTAGAAAAGGAACATCTGCATTAGGTACAATGGCCCCGAGTATGAAGGCATAATCTATGACAGCAGATAAGGGTCTCAAACAAACCGACTAACCAGATTTATTTAACTTACACGAGCTCAAACAGGTCTCAAAAGTACTGAGGCTGCATCCAAGACCGCATACTACCATGAGCCATCACCTGTATCCCTTAGCAGTGCATTCATTAGTACAGGACCTATAGCATATAAGTATGTGGGTGGTTCAGGACGCAGCCACCAAGTACTTGCTGAAGAGACAACAAAGCAATAGTTCATCCATATCAGCTGTGTCCACCTCAATGACTCACTAACAAGCCAGCAGATAGTTATTAGAATTAGAGCTCACACAGTTAGGTTCTACTTCCATTTTAACTTCACTAGACCTACACAAGTTCCCCATTGACCGAAATCCATCTGACCAAGAATTCATGTTCACAAACTTGTAAAGTAGCCTTCCTGTTCGGAATTCCGCGCTCCACCTTAAACGGCGCAGCAGTTACATTCAAGCGCCTCAGGAGCCAGAACGCAACTGCTGCACCATTTAAGGTGGAACGGGAAAATTCGAATAAGAAGCTGACTTCAGCTTCGTGCAGCTAACTTCGTTCGCTAGCTAGGTCACTGAGGAGATTAGGGGTGAAGTGCTCATACTTGAAGATGCTGAAGACGGTATTTTTATTTGTGTGCAGGAAGAAAAACAACCAAACATCATTTTGAAAAGCTGCAGGTGCCCACTGGCTGCTTTGCATGTTAGCGAGCTAACTAGCGAACTAGCCAGGCGGCTAACACGCCCTGCGCGAAGCTAACCCAGCATTAAATGGAAGAACACTGCTAACGGTTTGGCTAATGTAGGCAGCCCACTAGCAGCCTTCTCACTGCCGGACACAGGCACTCAGTCCACCGCTTGGGGATAAACACACAGCGCTGGACGGGAACAAAACAAACCAGCGGTGTAGGAAGACCTTTAAACAATATAGTTACCTGGCTGTCGTTCGGCTTCGGCGCAGCACTTGTGGTCGATGAACGTGAACAAATTGGGCTTGTCCTCGCTAGTTGAATCCGTGATTCATCCTGCGCTCACTAGGATACGCTTATTGTTATTGTGGGATAAAGTTAAAGCGGTCCGCTTCCATCCGCCATTTGCAGATTGTCATTACACACACACGGCACGGCTGTGTCTAAGACTCGCCCTTGGCACCAGACCAGGACCAATGAGAGCACGGCGTTGTGGGATAGCTTCGCGCTGATTGGACGTCGCCCACGTCACTCTAACGCAGCCGTCCTCAGTTTAACCACGCCTCGTGTCTCTTTATTATACAGCCAATAAAAGGCATGTGTGATGTGTGAATCTAAGAATTTATTGGACGAGATCAGTAGACGTAAGAGCACGTTTAAACAGGATTAACCAATCAGTGTTCCAGGATCGGAAAAAGCGGAACAACGGATCACGAAATCTTGGGAGTGGGGGTTGTTGTGTGGAGGGGATTAGGGGGGACGTGGTCGTCATTTAAGATGCTCTAGATTTGCAAATTTTTTTCTCCATTGCGTTGTTTGCTGTCAAACAAAAAGCACCTGACATCATTTTAAAGGGACCGTAACCTGCATTTTTCTTCTGTTTTATTTTTATGATGTTTATGTGATTTAGTGCATCAAAAACCACCATAATACATCCTCATCACCATTTTCCAACCTTCTTTTATACGTTACACTGCATTTACATTAAGGCAGTACACAGTCAATCCATATATTCCATTGTTTTCAAAGACGCTGCAATTGAAAAGTACACCACTGCAATATGTTTTACAAAAAAACAATAAAGTTTCCCAGTTTTAAGATTTCATATGTTCTCTTCATACTATGTTCAATTAAATATATGGTTTAAATGATTCACACATCATTGCATTCTGTTTTCATTTACATGGAAAATGGGTTGTATTATAGCAAACTCTTATTTGAGGAAAGTAAGGAAAATTTGTTTTTTTTCCATAATATGGCCTCTTTAAAAAGCTGCAGATGAGCACTGATTGGTTGTTCGCTGGGATTAGGGTCACTGCGAGTAATGAGCAGTGAAGAATCCATCTGTCAACATATACTTGCTGTATTGTTCTCAATGTGCTGAGCAAAAGAAGAAACAAAAAAAACAAGGATTGCAAACTTTGTAGTGGTTTGAGTTTAATAGATTATTACATCACACACAAATGGACAGTACAGACCTCCCCCCAAAAACACACCCTTTATGAAAGACGGTAATACACATACAAACACCTTTTACATAAATACACACAGCTTGATCAACACATACAGCCAAAATAAAATCCTAAAACTAAATAAATGTGGTTTGAGAGGAAGCATTCTTCTGTTCCTTTGGCTCTTCAGTCCATCATTGTTGAGTTATTGTCCCACATTTACTGCTGTGAACCTGCTGCTGGACTTCAGGTTGAATGATGGTGAGATAAGTGTGGAAATGGTGAAGCTGCAGCACAAAACAGGAAGATGTTTCAGACACAAACCGCAAAGCAGGAGAGACCGGGTGGAGAGAGAAGCTGGACGAATGATGGCCTTGTGGTGGGAATTCTGTGAGCCTGAAAAAAATAGTGAGCAAAGAGTGGATGTGCATGACTATATTAGGTCAGCAGTGCAGCTCAAAATGAAAATAATCCTAAAAATACTGAAAAACATCTGAAAGTGGCATGGAAGCCTGTTTACGTAATCTAAAATTTCATCTGCATTTGTTTCAGGCATATGTGAAGTCAACAGACACTGAGATAATGCTCTTTGGTTTCAACTATCAGGCTGAGTTGTCATTTTACTTTGAGGCCAAGCAATATGACGATACTTTAGAACTACTTTACACTTATTTGCATCACATTACATCACAAAATGCTTTTCTGCTGTTTTATTAGAGTCAATACTTAAAAAACACTGACCAACTACACTTCTCTATGTGACTAGTCCTCTAACTAGACACATCAGTGTGTTTAGTTGGAGGTGACAACACATTTTAAGTTACTTTTAATACAAAATGTGTTGAAATATTTCTGTGCCCACTTACGGATAACCCGTTTTGTGTTACTTTTAATGCAGAATGTGTTAAATCAGTAAACAATAGTAAACAAAGTGTTAACACGAGTAACACAAGTGTGTTGTTAGTGAACACATCATTTTTCAGGGTGTATGTTTTAATACAAAGGGCCAGTTTCCTGGACACGGAGTAAGCCTAGTCTTGGACAAAATTGCTGTTCAAGTAGTGAATCAGCGTTGAGAATGCTTATTAGTCTAGGCTTAGGCTTAATCTGGGACTAAGAGAGCAGCCGAAAGAAAGCATGATTAGCCCTGTTTAATTGGATTTAGTGCAGCACAGTCCATGAAACAGTGAATAAAAATGATAAAAATGATTAATAGTTTTCGATAGTATGTTTTAAATATGGCACTGCTTGTGCTATCAGCCTATACTAACTTAGCAAACCAGAAAAACTACATATAGTTATACAAATTGTGTATTGTGAAAATGTCTTCAAGTGTGCCATATCGCCCACCCCATTTCTGTTTTCTATTTAATGTTTTTCTTCATTGGTAACTAATCTCCACACATACACTACTATTCAATAGTTTGGAATCGGTGTCACTTATACAATACAAAACCATTTTGGTTGCAGAAAAAGTGTTTAAATTGATTTTAATATGCTTCTAATAAGTTTGGAAACTAATAACTGTAAATAGCTGTAAAATAATTGTAAATAGATAATTACAATATATGGCTTATCATTTTAGAACTTTTAATAATGCTCCAAAAAATCATCTTTTAGTGTCTAGGTTAGGATATGTAAATCTAAATTGTATAAGTTATATACTGTATCAGTACCACTTCACAATAAGGCTACCCTTATAAAGCATTTATGAATGGGTTAAAATGTTTCATCCAAGTGAGATAAAATACCACCAGTATTTTAAAAGAATATAAGGAAAAGTTGTCATGTGAATTTATTTATTTTAAATTTATTTATTAATTTGTTTCTAAATTAGTACAATTTACTGTATTTTCTGTTCAATACAAAGGCAGTTTTGGATGGGTGGGTGGAGAAGGGGGTTTGTGTCCAGTGAGTATGGTGCAGAGAAAAAAAGTGCAACATATTTATATGTATGTAAAATACCTGTCCACTTTAATAACAAACATATTTAAAAAACGTTCATAAATGGTTATTAATTAGTTTGGGAACATGTTAAAATCATTAGTTAGCAGTTATAACACATAAATAGGACTGAGCTGTTATAGCTGATGAAAATTAATATTTGATGAAGCTGAGAGGTTTAATGCTGATAAAGAAGACAAAGTAAGATCACCAACCAGCAAGACCTGAGCTGTAACTGTACAAATGAATGTGGTCTCACTATTTGCCAGGTCAGTGCCACAGCTTTTTATTTATGTGCTTTAACTGCTTATTAAAGATTTTTTTAATGCATAACCATTAATATACCATTCTGAACACAACATTCAAAAACCCTTACTAAGGGTGGTCTTATTGTGAAATGGTGCTGTTACTACTTTACATAATTGACAAGTGCTACTCATATGACTAGTGATTCCAAACTTTTGAACAGTATTTGTTGGCATGCATGATTCTGTGGGCAGATTACTGACTCAGCATTTAAACAATACGACTTGAACATACAGTTGCTTGCAAACGTTTGAACACCTGGTTAAATTTCATGTCTAATTCATTTTGTAAGTGAACATCCTCTACAGGGAACAAACAAAGCTTTGCATTATTCTGCAAATTTCAGCATACATTTTTATTTATTTGCTGAGTTTAACATATGGAAAAAAATAAAACATAAAATATGAAATTACTCAAAAAAATGTGCCATAGCTTTTGCACAGGCCACATTTTATGCTTTTATGTTTCATCTAATATGCTGAATTTAGCTGCAGACGATGTGTTAAAAAACATGTCATTTAACCGGGGGTGTCCAAATTTTGCATACGACTATAAACACATTTTACCTGAACACACACCTTTATGAGAAGAAGCTGTACAGATAGGAAAAGACAACTATCCCCAGAATGACACAACACAACATGATCATCATCTTTTTCTACAGGGAAAAAGAGTAAATGATAGAGAGGTGAAAAAGAAGAAAAAAAATAGAGCGATGATGAAAAGTCATGGAAAAATGGATGAAAAGAGACAAAAAGATCATCAGCAGCAAACATTACATGAGAATAACATTCTTTTGCTCTACTCTTATCTACTTTTGTTTAGGCCATACTGGTCTATAAATACAGGCTATCACTTCTTTCTCTGAAGGAATGGAAAGGAAAGGAAAAACAAGGGAGCATTACGGGTTTTGTGTGAGGGCAGTGTGCGTGTGCATGTGTGAGAGAGATAAGAGACATTAGAACAATCAGACACTTACCCATGACTGAATGAGATTAGACGCTGTCCATTAACGGCTGGATTCAAACATAATCTACCTCAATCGGATAAGGATATACACTGATCAGGCATAACATTATGACCACTTCCTTGTTTCTCCTTGTTGTGTGGACTGACAAGGTAGGAGTGTCTAATAAAGTCGACAGTGAGTGGACACAGTGTTTAAAAACTTCTGCAGCACTGTTGTGTCTGATCCACTTGTACCAGCACAACACATACTAACACACCACCACCACCTCAGTGTTACTGCAGTGCTGAGAATGATCCACCACCCACATAATACCTGCTCTGTGAGGGTCCATGGGGGTCCCCACCACTGAAGAACAGGGTAAAAGGGGGCTAACAAAGTATGCAGAGAAACAGATGGACTACAGTCTGTAACTGTAGAACTACAAAGTGCTCCTATATAGTAAGTGGAGGTGATAAAATGGACAGTGAGCGTAGAAACAAGGAGGTGGTCATAATGTTATGCCTGATCAGTGTATTTCTGTTTGTAACAACCCAAGACAGTCTATTCATTGTATCTAGCATCGTGTTCAGATAATAACAGGAGATACGGCATGAACATACCACAGGCCTTATTAGCGAAATGCTATTAATTGTGTTAAAGGGGAATTACTGTACAGCTCCATTGTTGTAATGTATTCAACAATGGAATACAAAGTCATTCAGTGGTTTGATGTGAAATGGTTCATGAAAGAGAAACTTACAGACTTTCCATATTTCTTTAAAATGGTAGCGAATACGAACAGAGGTCACAACGTCAGCACAAGTACAGCCATTTTACTTGTGAACCCACACGTCTGAGTTTTACATTTAACGTAAGGGGGTTAAATGAGGCATAAATCTGACAAAAAAAATCCTTTTTATTTTGCCTTACAACACCCTGCATGTACCTCTCTGCCATAAATTTAAAAATACATTTTAGGCCTAAAGCTTATCTTAAAACTACCACAGAACAATGTCTCACTCATCAGGCAGCGTACTCATAATCATTTTGTGTAATTTTTCATGTGAGGGAGCTTTCAGAGGCATAAAATTCTTCAGATATGTTGTTCCTGTCACTACGACTGTAAACGATTTTTGGCAAGTTTCTCTAGAACCTTTTGTTGTGACTTTGTTTACATTGTAATGACTTAATTATGCAGAAACTCATAGGAACAAATGTATATAAAGGCTCATATAATGGTTACTGTTCAAAAATCAATGAGCTTTGTGAGACTGCACCCCCTTCTGAACAGTCTGGGATCCACACAGGCAGGTTATTCTAGAGAACAGACTGTTTCAATAATTTAGTCAGTGAAATTGGCTTCAAATTTGGTCATTATTGGTTTGTTCTCATCACATATGTCCATTTCATTATGCCCTGGCTGTTCCACTAGGGGCCAACCGATATAGTTGCTGATAAAGCAGCAATGATGCCTGTTTAAACATTATTCAGCAAAATTTTGAATAACAACCAAACATAAGTGATGAGTGAGGGGTGACCAAACTTCAAGCCATTTTGACTGACTGACTAAAAAACTCTGGTGAGCTTCTCCTGTCCTGGTACAGCAAGGAGAAAGATGCTAGATTTGACTGTGTGTTCTTTAGGACAGTGGTCACCAACCCTCCTCCTTTAGATCCACTTTCCTGCAGAGTTTAGTTCCATCCTGCAGCCTCCTCAATCATTACCTAACACTAACACATCTGATTCTGCCAATCAAGGACCTCTGAAGAAGTCAGGTAGCAGGAGCAGGTGTGGCAGATTGTACACAGGAAGGTGGATTTCCAGGAGAAGGGCTGGTGACCACACCTGAATGACCCCAAGTTTGTTAGGCTGTTTTCTTTTTTGGAACCTGTAAGTCTAAAATAAGATGCTAAAGCTTCAAAGTGAGATGTGTGAGCAACAGCAACGCAGTCCAGGAGCTGAACCAACAGAACAGTAGAAATTACATTCAATTAGATTACTTAATTATCTTACTCACTATATGCATCTAATGTACAATACACTTACATAAGACACACATATTACAATAGATCATATTTGAGCAGAAGGAAAAATCTAATTTTGAGACAACAACCCACCTCTGTTTAACTAAAACTATTGGGAGTCTTTGTTTATTTTTCAACATATAAAATGATCTCAACCAAAATCATTAGTTTCCAGAACTCATAGCTCCTTAAAATCAGCAGGAGACAATTTTCATATTGGTCAGATACCATTTTTTTTATTTAATTCACTCTCATTCATTCATTCACTCATTCATCCATTCTTGAATTCTTCATCACTTAAAAACACATAATCATTTATTCTTCGAATAACATTAAAATTTCACAGGCAGGAATGAAGATTTAAAAAAATTGTAAAACAACCTAATTTTGCTTCATCAGTCTTAGTTGTGGGCCTCGATTGAGGATGACCCATTTAGGCACTAACTGAGGCAAACCTCAGGTGCCTTTTAACCAGTTTCACATTGATTAAACTGAAAATACATTAAAATACATACACTCACGTTTTAAATGTCACTGAATTTTCAGTATAAACTATGTCTAACTGTGATATTATATGAACTTTGATCAAAACATGGACACTGACTGATAACTAGCTGTGTGATAGTTACCAATGTACTGTAGTACTGGGTCCAACTGAAATGAAAAACAAGGTACCAAAGTTTGGCAAAATGCAGTATGAAAGTACTCGATATGAATCACACATTCATATTCGGGGCACCATAAAACAATCATGAAGTTACGCAGGTCATCCTCCGCAGATTCACAGACTCCACAGACTCAATGAAGTGAAATGAAATGGTTAAATGTGAAATATGTTCATTTTTAACTGGATATAAGGGGGGTGTTGAACGATGAAATGTTTTAAAACTTTAAATAAAAAAAAACATAAGTTATACAATACAGTAAGAGCACTTGTAGGTTCAAATCATAGCCAGTAAAGTCTTTTAAAGATATTAAGGTGGGAAGTGGAGGTCTTTGTTTTCCTCTTCCACTCTATACTTGAATAAAAATCCCTTATTCTTTGTTCTGATTCTGTCCATTTACACAAAACATGTTCCCTTTGCGATTTCCCCAGCAGCAAGTGCTTCATCTGATTAAAGCACATTTTCAGAAAGCCATGGGAGGAGTCGTCCATCAGTTGGTGGAGGGTGAAGAGGGCGGAGCCACAGATGGAAAGGGGAGGGGTGTTTGTCTTGTCTTGTTGATCTCTATTCTTGGCTTTCAGTAGGTGGGAGGGAGAGAGAGTGACGGGAATGACTAGGAGGCCACAGATGAACAGAAGAGCGGACGGTGACATGTGTAGGGCCTCACAGTGTCTGTGTGAGGATGATGATAATGATGATGACCACAACCACGAGAATGACCACACCCAGTATGATCATTTTCTACCAGAGAGAGAGAGAAAAAGAGAACAAAGGCCAGTCAGTATCCACAACACACAACCACTAACAAGCACAAGCAAAAACTACAGCAGCTAAACTGTTAGAATCAGCAGGAAAGAAAGGTGTTAAACAATGAATGCATCAAAGAATGAACACACTAGGCTTGGGCAATGTCAGATTTTCTGTAGTTTAATATTTTTCATCAGGAAAAATTAAGTTGTACTAAGCTAAAGGAATACTCCAGCGTTTTCCAACCTGATCTCCATCTCCCGAATCTGTAGCATATGGTAAACTGTTGAACATAAACACATTTTAAGCTTCAGCACCTGCCCATTGGCTTCTATTATAAACAAGTTCTGAATCAGATTTTTCTGTTCTGTTCAAATTACAAGGACATTTTTTCCAACAATAATCAACCATATGCTAAAGACGCAGCAGATAAACATTAGACTAATAAACAGTGGAGTATTCACTTCCTTTAACTCTGACCGCACTTCCCACCTGCTTTTAGCAGCAAGCCAGATCATGGTCAAGCTGGAAACAGCCACACTTTATAGCATTATAAACATTTGATGTGAATTACATTACAGGCCTTACGTTTCTTTGCAGTTCATGATATTACGACATCACAGCAATCAAAACTAATAATGTATCAACCCAAGCCTAGTAAACCAAATCCCAGAATCCAGACAGAAAGGATGACCTGAAAAAGCAAAACTACCACCGTCACCTAAAACCCCAACGCATTAATGACCGCAGGGGTGGGCAATATGATATTACCACTGTCATTACTAACGTTATCATTATCATGATTATCATGAACAATATGTTTTAATCATATATCATGGGTATTGTCTGTACTTTTGTAACACTGAACAACTGCATGTTTAATAACAATACAGATCTGCTGACCACAAAATAATGATAGACACACCTTTCAGCCAATCACAATCGTCTCTAAGCAGCACTACGGAAAAATTCAGAGAAAGTTCCTCAGAAACAAACCCGGAGTGAGAACGACAGTGGCAGTAAAGGGGTCAGTTATTCGGCTAGGAGAATGTAGAAACAGTGCTACTGAGGTGTTTGTAATTCAGATTTAAAAAGTGTTGTGTAAAACTATTAACTGACAGACCTATACTGGCTCTAACATGAACTTAACTTTCTCTGGGTCACACTCACAACGTGTTAAACATTCTCTGTAAAGATAAATATTAATGTACTTGTACATGTCATCATTTCTACTGTTGCATTAAATTTGATGAAAGACTTTATCAGATGCACAAGATGGTGTGTCCTCCTCAGCATCTCATCAGTTGCTCTGACCAGCTCCAGTGTTAATTTAAGCATTAACTCACTTGAATGGGCGGCTTTGTTAGCTCAACCCTCCTCCTTATTAGACATGATGACCTGCTGCTTTAACATCCAGTGCCTAAAAGATTTGATTAATGTGAACATGGTTTCTAGAATCCCTTCACTTATTTTTCCCTCTAAATCAGCCTAATTCATATAGTTGTATGTCTGCACTGAACATCTAAAGGCATTTTATTTTTGGATAAAGTATTTTCAGAGGTTCTCCTTTGTATGCTTCTGAAGTTTCCTACTGAACTTTTCAGGGTGCTACCACAAGAGTTAGTGTTACATGTTAGCCAAAGCTGAACGTGTGATTGATACAGCAGCAATAAGTACAGGAAGCAATTGGGGAATTGTCAGTATTTTTGCAAACTGTCAATTATATAGCCTGCAAACTACAATAACCACTCTATAGTACTTTAATAAATTATGTCTACCCAGTGTTTGATTTTTACTGTTGTTCCTCTAGCAAATATTAAAATATAAAGTACTTCACAGTATTTTAAAGCCTTTCTATAGTGTGCCACCAGTGCTTGTACGTTTAATTCACTCTAATATGTTAGCAAACCTGAGAAAAATTAAATACTGTGATGCATATTTTTCAGCATAATAAGTCTCGTGTTTTTTTAACCATATTGCCCACCTTTAAATGACCTTAAGCTCTACACACAGACACATACACACCCCGTTTTCCAAACACCCATGCAGACACAAGCAGACTCCAACAGGATTCATCTTACGTTTACTCACCAAATGTGAAATTTGTGACTTATCCTTTTTTTAGTCCTACAGACAGACCTATAATCAACGCAATAATGCCAAGAATCACCAGTACCAAACACACTATAATCACCTTTTTCTGTGAACACACACACACACGCACACAAACACACACACACACACACAAGCACACACACTCACATTAGTTGCAGCCCAAAAGTCCTGTACACAAAACCGCTGCTTACTATAAATAACCTGATTCTCTTATGCAACAACATAACTCGAGTAACAAAGCACATTAATAGCTAAACCAAAAAAAACATATATTCACCAAGAAGCAGTTCAAAAAACTTTCCAAAAGTCAATTTAAAAAACAAAACAAAAACATAGAAATAATAAAAGTTTATCGTCGCTGTCCAAAAAAAACTTGTATCTCCATTTTTTTTTCATTTTTTTTTTGCTTTTCTACAGCCTTTGAACACGGCACGTGCCCTTTACACCGCGGGAAAATTGAATGAGGACTGGACCAATAGAAATGCTCCAACACTGCTTGGAATAAAATGGCTTTACATTAACTTACATTGAAAGTAATGAATGTTTTTGCCCTCTCCTGTAAAATTACTATTTTGGAGATACTCGTTTTATTTAGACAGCGACGATATGCTCTTAAAAATACTGGTGGAGAACAAAGTTTATGATTTATTAAATCTACAGTGGCAG